AGAAACCGTTGGAACCTTAGAACCAAGCCAAAACAGCATTGGAAAAGGCTCCCGATTTCTTGTGTGTTCCCCATGTGCCAGGAATGTGCTGGGCAGGGTGCCGAGCACCTTCTCAACACAGCCCTGCCCGTAGCACTAGGAGTTGGTGATGCCTCATTTGTTTCACGTCAGAAAACCTAGACTTCAGGGCTGGAGATTTAGCTCAGCGGCACAGTGCCTGCCTGGCAAGTGCAAGGTCGTGAGTTCGATTCCCGGTACCGGGAAAAAAGAAAAAAAGAAAACCTAGACTTCTTGAACTCAGAAACTTTCCCAAAGTCTTAGTGCCAAAAGGGCTGAGCTAGAATTTGGTAAGCCTGCTGCCTTGCAGAGCCCCTGTCTCCCTGTGCAGGGATGTGGTAATCGAGGCTGGTGTTCCTGCATCTCCTTTGAGGTAACCCTTTCATCCTGTGCTCCCAAGCGGGGCCCTCAGCTTGTCTGGGCATGGCAGCCTCGCTGGGTGGAAGCAGTCAGGGTCTGACCAGCGCCGCACCCTCATGAGTGGCTCATTGGCTTTGGCAGGAGGACCATGGTGGTCTGGGGTCTGGCTGTCTGGAGGGGCTGCATCGAGGCTCACTTCAAGGGGATTTGTTCCCACCTTGGGACTATACAACTGCCTGTCTTTATGTTCACCATTGGGCGTGAGAGCAGCCGGCTGATCCAGGCTGCTTTCTGCTAAGCAAGTAGGTCTTCCCAGCAGAGCTGAGCCGGCTTGAGCTGCGCCCCTGCACCGAGGGCTCTCTGACACTCTTTGTTCTGGTGGGACTGGAAGCAAGCGCACCAGCGTGTTGCCTTCTGTCTACACCCTGTGTCCAGAGGCTAAATGTTCATTTGTTTAAGCCAGGCTTACTGTCTTGTTGAGCTGCATTACCACGTGAAAGTGTTGACTGAGCTTGGCTCCCCGGGATGAACTACAACTTGTGACTCATTTGTTATGGGTCTAGAATCAGTTCCCAACATGTTAAGAAGAGCAACAAACAACTTCCTTGTTTTATGAAGTGCTAACAGAAGAAAACTCGTTAATTCCTAATTGTTCTCCCCTGCGCTAGCTTTAGCTCCACGCAAGTAGCTGCAGCAGTCAACCCGAACTCTCCAATAACAAATTGCCTTTTCGCCCCCTCGTGAAGCTGCTGCGTTGGTGTCTGGTTTGCCCAGAGCCCATACCCTGTGCTTGTTCGTGAGCATGTAATTAGGCATTTGTCATCCGTGTCTAGAATAGGCCGTTTATGTTGTAAACATTTAACGCATTGCTGTAAAAAACTGCCTGTATCCTTGCGAAAGGCCGATGTGTGTATGGAGATGTTTATCCAGGAGCACGCTCCCTCTGTTCACCCGCGGCCCCCGTGTGACCATCATTTTAAAGAACTCTTTAATTTACCCTTGTTGCCTGCTTAAATTTCAGTTTTTAGCATGTGATTTCATTTCCCCCAAAGGAAATCTTACCCATTTAGCATATCTCAGAACTTTTTTTTTTACCTTTTTTATAGGAAGTGAGATGTTTTTTCTTGTACTGAATAATATATCTTGGATACTTTGATTTCTCACTTATTAGAAAAGCTGCTGTCAGAAGGCATTTGCAGCTTGACTGTGTGCAGAGTGGTGTGCGGATTTGGCCTGTGGGGGTGGCTGTTTCCTCCAGCTCTCAGGAACGCCCCAACTCCTTGCTGTGGCTGGGTCACAGCATAGACATCAGCTATCCTGGCCACTGCGGTGCTCTTTGAGATGTTTTCCCTGTGCTCACCACACGCTGTCACCCTGTGCACAGCCACAGTTACCCTTGGAAGGAGGCCCTGGTATCCCCATTTTACCAACCAGGAAGCTAAGTCCTTGTGCTTCCCTGCATGCCCAGGGCTGGGGTCAGGGGCAGCCATCTGTTCCCTCAGCTAATCCAAAAACACGAGACCCGCCTTCCGCCTGGCAGAGAAACACACCCGTGTGCACAGGATGCTGGGGGGGATGTCTGATGTGCTTTCTGTCCGTACAGTCGTGACACCCCTCCTGGCCCCCACGCTGTCTTCCCTCCGGGGGTCAGGGCAGCCATCCTTTACCACCGGAAGTCTGTTGTCACACCCACGCTGCTGGCACTGTGGGCAGGTTCTTGAAGGAGAAGGGTGTGGAGACTCTGTGGGACCTTCAGATACACTCGCAGGTGGGGCCACTGCCAGCTTGGCCGTGGATGGTCTGGGACCTGCCCTCTGTGCCCCGGTCACACACTGTCCGGGGGAGGATACGTTTACTTTCTGCCAGACTCTCCTGGACCCATTTTGTGTAACGCAGTATAAAGGGAATTACTAAAAAAAAAAAAAATTTTTAAGAATAGAAAATTCAAGCCCAAATTTTGTTAGATTCTGCTGCAGGTGTCAGATTACCAGCAGCTTCCTAGCTCATCCTCTTAGAGTCTGCTCCTGCTATCTGCCAGGGTCTCCAGTCCTCACTTGGAGTTGGCTTTCCAGACAAGGGACCATGGAGAAGGTGCCCGCTTCTGAGCCTCCCTTGTCTGCACCTGGGAGCCAGGGATAACCTCTTGTTGTCAGAATTAAATGAGCTCCCTGCAGTGTCTACGTGAGTGCTTAGAATGTGCGAGGTGTCTACCAAAGAGTAGTTGATACTTCATCCGGACTCGAATGCCTTGAAAAAAATTAATCTAAATCAAGTGATTATTACCTAATTTACTTTCTACTTCTTTGAGAAACTAAGAACTATTAGTAACAGCGACTTCTGGCACGTTTGTCGTGGAGTCCTCTGGAAAACAGCAGGATATAGTGTTCAAACTTGGGGTGTTCATTGCTGCTAGGCTTGGGTGCTTTTAGGCCTTTTCAGTAAACAGAACTAGGAAATCAGTATTTGGAGGAAAGAGAAAATTATGAGTTCAAATATATTTCAAATTAAAATTAATGTCTTCCATTTGATACTTTTTTAGCTTGAAAATTGTGGTTGCTAATGTTAGTTGCCCTTTTGCTTTAAACTAAATATATAAATGATGGTTCAAAATAACAACAGTAATATTACTAATGCTCAGTAAGACAGGATATAAAGTGAAAACGCTGTATTCTGTGAAATAATTTTTCTTGGTTTACACGCTATCAGATTAATTTGTTGGTTGTTAGTTTTTAGAACTTCAAATTCAGTTTTAAAAATGTAAAATACATAAGATCCCAAAGTCATGAAAGTATATAGCCAGGGACATTGGTAGACTCCACTCCAGTTTCTCCCAGCTCTGTCCTCTTCACTGTGGGGAACCCTTGCTTGTCTTTGGCTAACCTCTTCATTATTTCCTTTTTAGATTTTCCCCGTTCTTATGCTGCTAGGAATCAAATCCATGCTAACCATGTAGTGTGCTCTTCCCCTGAACTACACACCTGACCCCCGAATGTATATATTTAAACGTGTTTTTTCTCTTCTCTCTCTGTCTCTCTCTCTCTCTCACACACACACCCCCCGTTGTAGCACTCTTACAATAGACAAAAGGTGGAAATCAAATGTCCATCGATGGAAAAATATATGTATCCATACAGTAGACCATTACTCGGCAATCCAAGGAGATAAAATGCTGACACACACAGTCAGGATGGACCTGCAGACCACGATGCCAAATGAAAGAAACCGTAAACAGACGGCCACCCTTGCTTGATTCCGTTTGAGTGAAATGTGCAGAATAGGCAAATACAGAGACGCAAAGTAGATTAGTAGTTGCCAAGAGCTGAGGGAAGGTAGGAATGAGGACTGAGCTCCAGGATGTTGGGTTTCTTTTGGGCTGGAAATATCCTAAAATTAGACAGTGGTTGTCTCTACCAGTAAATATGTTTAGTATAGTCAAAACTTGGAATATACTAAAAATACAGGATATATGCTATATTAATACATTGGTATAGCATACACCCTCAGGTACATGGTCTGATGTAGTATATACAGTGCAGGTATGCTATGCTACAATTCAATATATGATCAAACATTTTATTTATTTATTTATTTATTTTGGTGTTAGGAATCGAACTCAGGACCTTGCGCTTGCTAGGCAGGTGCTTATGCCACTGAGCTATATCTCTGGCCCCAACTCTGAATGTACAAAGCCCTGCTGAATGAAGGGGTGAATTTTGTGGCCCTAGAATTACATCTGAGTAGAACTGTTATATGAAACTCTACTGTCAGAACAACCTCGTCCGTGTGCAATTTCATGGGAGCTTGTTTTGCTGTGAGGTCCTATGGATGGGATTCCTGGGGCAGAGGATAAATGCTGGGTGGTTTGGCCGCACACAGCCCGGTCCCTTTCTGGGCGGCCGCAGCCTGGCAGTGGGGAGCAATCCACGCTCTCCCTTGAGGGGAGGATGGGGCGCGGTCCGTCATCTACAGTCCCCCCGCCCCCCCATGTCTCCTTCCTGTGTCCTGTCTGTCCGTACGTCTCATCCCCTTTCCTCGGGCTTGTTGATATCATTTCAATTTTCGTAAGTTTTCTTTGCATCAAAATATTAATCCTTCGCATTATTTTATAAATCTGTGAAATGTGACACATAACTTTCCCAGTTTCCATTTGCCTTTTAAAAAACATGTAGTCCCAATTCAGAACCTTTTTTTCCTCATTTAGTTCTAGAGTCTGAATCTTACTTGGGGAAGTGTTTTCTCCTTCCAGCCTTGCAAAGGAACACACCCGTGTTCTCTTCCAGTACTGGCCTTTATCATCTTTATGTTTGGGCTCAGGCTTTTTGGACTTTATCCTGGTGAACAACGCTAGGAAGTGATCCACTTTTACCTTTTTTCTATGGCTGCCCAGTTGCCCCAACGTTTTTGAGGAATAATGAAAGAAAATAAGTATCACTTTGGTTCATATGTCTGCTTTTGGGCCATTTCTGGGCCGCTATAGGTTTTTATGTAGTTGTACACACACCACTACTGAGTGTGGGAAGGAGGAGAAGGGAGTCGCTTTCCCCTCTGACACTGACCAGGCTGCCCATCTTCTGTCTCCCCAGGTGAACGAGCTGGACGGCATTCCACTGATCCTGGACAGCTGCAGCATCGATGACAGTAACCCCTGTATCCTTGCGTGTGACCCATGAGGCCCCGGTGTTCATCTGTGTAGGACTGGCTGGCTTGCTTGGTGCTTGTTTCACAGGAGTTCCAGTGCTGGGGTAGCACTCTTGTGACCTTTGGGGTATGGTTAGCTGAATTTTTCACGGTGACTGGGACGTTGCAAACCAGCATGTCCCTGAAAAAGTGCTGTGAAACTCTGGGGCAGTCAGTTCACCCAAGACCCCTGTGCTGTGCATCACTAATGTCACCTGCCCAAAATGTATGCATGGTCCTCAGTGCACACGTGATGTGTGACATGTTTTTTCTGTAGAAACAGCAGTTTGGCCACACAGAACGTGAGGTGTGCTCTGTCCTAGAGAGAGGGAAAAGCGTGCCAGGTGCCCCCAGGCCTCCTCTTCACAGGGCTCTGTCCCCAGCCCTCTGCTGAGGAAGCGCGAGTCTAGCTCTTGCCCTTCCTCCACTGGCCACTCCCTGAGGGTGTCTGCAGAATATTGCTTATTCCCCTCGCTTCAGCTCACAGTTGTGCCTTTGAAACTGGCCCCATGTAGTGGACAGGACCCAGGGGCAGGTACAGCTGCTGAAGTTTGGCATGAAACCTACTTTTGAACCCTAGGAACTTTTCCCGGTGAGAGTCAGCCTCAGCGCAACCCTTGCCCAATGGCCCTATGACAGGTAGGGAATGTTCCCAATGGGCAACGATGAGGAGCCCAGCTAGGACAGAGGAGACTGAGGGGAAGGGCATTGCAGCAACGAAACTCCCTTCCCCGTGGCTTCTGCCAGGACTAGAAGAAGACCTGGTAAGAGTCAAGGATTTCAAAAGTAAGTAAACTAAGAAATGCACGTTATTTGTGCTAAAGACAGTCATCTGTCTTACTAGCAGCGAAGGAATCTTACGTGAAAGCACACAGAAGCTCATGAGATTGGTCAGGAAAGAAAAATCAGCTTTAGAGGCCCCTGCCCCAGGGCGAATGAAGTTGGCACTGTGCCGCGTTGTTACCCACACTGCACACTGCTCATTAGAGGGGCTGGACAGTTTTTAGCCCAGAAAAAAATAAAATAAAAACCAGAGGAAAGCACTACAGGAATGTTCAAGTGCAGCTGCAGATGTTGCATTTTCCAATGGAAAAGGTGATTTCTTATGAAAAAGAAATGAACCCACAGTTTACTTCCATGTTCTGAGTTGGCCTTCTAGCACCTAGCGTTTGCTCCTAGCAAAGAACAAAGGATAAACAGGCCGTTACCCTTGGGCACAGGGCAGGTGTCCCAATGTGCTGGGAGCCTCGCACACTGGACTTCACCTTCTTGTCCTCATCACAGCTCACACCTTCATTCACTTCTTCTTTTCCTAGTACTTGGGTTAAACCCAGGGCTTTTGCATGAAGCCACATCCCCAGCCCTTTTTAAAAACTTTGACCAAGGGTCTTGCTGAGTCAGTAAGCAAAATCTGTTGCGATCCTCCGGTCTCAGCCTCCAGGGTGCTGAGATCATCGGTGTGTGCAGTCTGCCGGCTTCTCATTCACGCTTCATGAATTTCCTCAGCCCTCATTCTGTGTTCACACACGTGCCTTAATGGTGACAGCTGCAGAAGGCAGGTCCTGGTGGTCGTCTCCCTTTTGCCGATGAGGAAGTCACCCAGGACTCCTGGTGCCTTGTCCTGCAGAGAGAGGTGAAAACCAGGAGTGGCTCATTCCTGGCCACCTTCCTGCCCCTCCTCAGGAGTCACCGGCAGGCGGGGAGCAGCGCAGAGAAGCCACGCTGCCGTCCACCGCGGCGAGAAGTGGTTCAGTGGGAGCTCTGGGTCGGTGTCCCGTAGACAGGTGCTTTGGCAGTGAGTGGAGCGTTGCAGACTCCTGAATCTACTCTGAATCACTGAGAAAAGACCAGATATTGCAGTGGTTACGCTTGCTATTGTGTGTGTGGTAATCAGTTAGGGCTTTACCTGTTGAACCTACCAGATTTTCAAGTCCTGTGAAATATGTACAAGAGGTGACATCCAGAAATACCGGCTCCGGGGGAGGCGGGCTGTGTGGCCAGGAGTGGGAAGACAGTGTGCCCAAGGGGTCGTGGGAGCAGTGAGCTAAAATCTGGCCTTTCTCTCACCAGAGCAAATGGTGACAGACTCCAGATGGTTGTTCAGAAGCCACCTCCCTCACACCGCACCCATCCAGGTGTTTGTCCTACTCAGAGGCCTTCCTAAGAATCATCTCACGGCCTGGGCTGCCCTTCGCCTCCTGTGCTCTTGTTTTCCTCTTTGTTTTTTTTTTCTTTCTTTTTTACATTTTTCCTTCATGAAAGTAACACTTCCATAGACCAGGTGTGATGGCACATGCCTGTAACCCCAGCCCTCTGGAGGCTGAGGCAGAAGGATTGCCGTGAGGTTGAGGCCAGCTAAGTTCACGGTCATCCTAGACTACATAGTGAGGCCCTGTCTCAAAAAAAGAAAATAATACACCTGGATCGTTTCCTTCAGCTGCTGAAAGGTGTTTAATGAGAGCATAGCACCTCTGGCTCCACTGTCCACTCTTTTAATTCACTCTTCCTTGCTGCTTCTGGTCATTGCTCTGTGTGTCTCACGATGTGCTCTTCTGCCATTTTTGGACACAACCGCTGTCAAGGACCTCTCCGTGTATTAGGGTGAGCCTGGGCTCCCTGTGCTGCCTGCTCGCCTTACTCCCTCCATCACTCTTCGCTGCAAGGAAGGTGCGAGTGATGCCAGTGTCCTGTAAAATGGGTACTTGCTGCTTGCATGGCATGTGTGTTTGGACTCTGCCCTCACTGTGACCTTGATCTTTCTTTTCGCCATTGGGGTCCCTCTCTATTTTTATTTGGGACCTGTCTACATATCCATGATAGGAGTTCTTTGTGTGCTCCATGTGCTGCTAACGTTTTCTTTCGCCCATTCTATGACTTAGCTTGTCATCCTCTTTATTCTGAATAATAAGTCCTTGTAGTCTAGTTTGACTTGTGGTCAAACGTATCATTTTTCTGTATGGTTAGTTTTGTTTTTTTTTAAAGGTAATCTTTTTTTTCTTTTCCGGTACCAGGAATCAAACTCACAACCTTGCGCTTGCCAGGCAGGCGCTATACCACAGAGCTAAATCCCCAGCCCTTTAAAGGTAATCTTGTCTGAGAAATATTTCCCTACCTTCAGGTCAGGATGATAATCCTTATCATTGTCTGAATACTTTGTACTTTTACTTTCTATACATGTGTCTGCAATTTATTTGAAGTTGATTTTTGCATGGAGTGACCTGGGGGTCTATTGCTATTCTTTCCACAGGGGGCGGCATAAAAAATGTGCCAGCCCTGGTTATTGAAAAGGACATGTTGTTGTGCTGTGTGGCACCAACATTTGGGTTTGTTTTGGAGTCTCTTTTCTTTTCCAGGGATCTATTCGTCTGACCCTGTGTCAGTGCCACAGTCTTAATTATCATGGCTTTCCAACTTTTCTACAAAAGCCATATATGTTCCAGTTTGTCTCATCTTTAAAAATAAAGCCTTTGTTTATTTATTTATTTATTTAATTATTTATTTATTTATTTATTTTTGGCCTTTTTTCTTTTTGAGACAGGGTCTTGCTATATAGTTCAGGCTGGCTTTAAACTCATGTAGTCCAGGCTGGAGTAGAACTCACAGCAATCCTCCTGCCTCAGCCTCGCAAATGCTGGGATTACAGGTGTGTTCCACCACATCCCACAATTTGCATAAATTTTCAAATCAGCTTGTCAAATTCTGCACATTCAGACTTATGTGCACACACAGACACACACACACACACACACACACACACACACACACAGAACCACCATCAAAAAAAAAGTTTAAATTCTCCAAACTGACTTACTCACTGAAATTGCATTGACTAAAATGAATTTGATGAGATTGGTGTGTAGTACTGAATCTTTGAACCCATTAAGTTGTTATATCCATCTACTTTAGAGTTACTAATTTTCACCGTTTGTCTTTTCTCTGTGCTTCTTTAGCTCCATTGCATGGGTTTTATGTATTATTACGATTATTATTGCATAGGATATGTATTCTGTTACCGTTCATTTTAAAGAGCTTTATAATTGGTTATGGTTTTGGTCCATGGATTAATGACAGAGGAGTTTCTTAATTTCTAAACAAATGAGAATTTGCTTGTTGTTGTTTTGGTTTTTTTTTTTATTTTTGTTTTTTGAACTTCACTTTTAGCATAAATGCATTATAATCGGTACATGCATACTTAATATCCTCTGTTGTACAAGTATATTGAGACTTGCTTTGTAACCTGGTATAGGTCAGTGTTTGCAAATTTTCTGTCCCTGCTTCAAACGCATTTCTATTCCTGAGTAGCTGGGTGCAAGTACATTAAGTTTGTAAATGGTCATACTGAAAACTTACATATGCTTACTGAGTTTTTTCTGCTTTCTCAATCACAGAGGTTATTTAAAATTTCTGCCTATGATTGTGGGTTTCTTTTTCTCTTTTGAGTTATGTAACTTTCATTTACATGCTTTGAGGCAGTTGTTTTTAGGTAAAGGTATGAAATACCCTGTTGTCATTAGAATGCATTCTCTAAAAATGTCTCTTTGCCTAATATTAATAGAACTTTACAGCTTATAGAGCTTCACAGCTTGTCTTGGGATGGATTTACATACCATAACTTTTTCAATTTGTTTATCTTCAACCTTTTTGTATGAGGTATGTTTTGTGTGAAGAACATCTGTTTTGTCTTAATCTGACAATCTTTGCATTTTAACTATTGCATTTAACCCATTTACATTTAGTATAATTATTATTGCTTTAAGCCTCTTTAAATGTTTTCACTAATTTTCCCTTTCTTGCCATTTTTTGGGTTCTTTTTAATAATTCTGGGTTTGTTTTTGCTTTTCTAGTTTAGAAGCTCTGTTTTCTTTTTCCTGTTTTATTAATGATTCCCTGAGAAATTTTAAAATGCATCTTTAAGCAAAGTCTTACATTTCTCAGGTATTTACTCCTCTTCCCAGACCACTTAATCCCCC